CACCACCACCACCACATCCACTTTAGTAATTAAACATTCTCCATTTTACACGAAAATACTCGTATATTCCTGGATTAACTATGATTATCTGAATAAATAACGATTATTTCACATTCTCGGTCTCTAAGTTCGGAGTTTCATCCCTGACACGTCGATGGTTACAGAGTAATGAGGTTCTTTACTCCCTAACACACACCAATCTACTCATATCTGTGAAGAAGATGCGGTGTTTTTTCTTTGAAGTAAAGCCTGAATTTTTAATAAATGCTATTTAAAGAAATTGCATGTTTCAAAGAGTGAATATCTTTGAGTGTTCAATGCAACAAGTAGGAAATCGGTTTCAAATGTTGTTTACGTCCATCACTAAAGGTTTCACTTGCGTCTAGATGCTCATTCAGAATTAATGTCCCACTTTCCCAGCTGATTTATAACTAACGAGAGCAGCCATGTCTTTACCAGTAGCAAATCCCTGTAGGTCTCCTTCTCCAACAGTTCTATATTTTTTCACGCATTCTACCTTCTCGTTGGGGGCACGCGGTAGTGTAGTAGCCTGAGGCACTATGCTACAAGCCGGAAAGTCGCGGTTTCCGATGAGGTCACTGGATTTTTCAATTCACCTAATCCTTCCAGCCGCACTATGTCCCGGGGTCGACTCAGCCTCTAACAGAAATGAGTACCAGGAATCTTCCTTGGGGTTAAGAGCGGCTGGAGCGTAAGGCTGACAAACCTCACAGCTATCTGTGAGCTGACTGTCTAGAGAAAATGTGTTAGTCTCGACGTCTCACAACCCTTTTGGCCTCCAGGGCATGTTACAGGCATAGCTTTACCGTTTACCTTTACCTACAAATTTATCTGTAGTTAAGAATAATACAGTACAATGTTTCGAGGCTGTTTCCTTCCTGTAGAAAGATCTATATTTGTGGGTGTCATTCACAGGGAAGCTCAAACGATTGAGTAATTCCATGGAGCTGAGTCTTACAGAAACCGCAACTAGTTCAGCTACTCGAAAATTTCCCTTCTCTCATGGAACCCGAAATTTCGTTTTCATATTTACAAATTCCTATCATTGGATCTTATCCCGAGCCAGATAAATTCATGTTGCATTTGAGGTCTTCAAGGCAAGTGATTATGAAGATTTCTATCTTCTGGGATATAACAGTGTGTACTCCAGTGACAGTCAACCGACATTTTGGAGAAACATCTCTGTCTCAATCTTCACGGTCGAAGAGTATGTCCAGCAAGAAAAGAGAATTAATCAGGCAGCAAGCAATCAATATCCTCATACCAAGTTTCTTTAGGGATAATTATTAATTTATAACGTATTTAATTTTTTTAATTGCTAGTGGGGGGGGACTAAGTCCCTTGTACTGCGGCCACTTCTGGCCTATTGTACCAGCCCCAGATGATAGGTGAGGGTGACTGTGGAGCAGTTGGTGGAATGAAGATTGGCAGGGGAAACCGAAATACTCGGAGAAAACCTGCCCCAGCGCCACTTTGTCCACCACAAATCCCAACTGACCAGACCCGGGATCGAACCCGGGCCGCCGCGGTGGGAAGCCAGCGACTAACCGCTTGAGCTATGGCGCGGCCTTATAACGTATTACTCTTAGCAGTCGATTAAAGGGAAATATGAATCATAAGATCTTGTTTACAAACACAATTATCTTCTATATTCTAAAGGGTTCTGATGATGGTGTATTAACACTCAGAATTACTAGGTTTTTGGATTTGTCCGACATCCAGCATTCTGAAAACTAGAGAACTCAGTGCTTCAGAAACTGGATCTGTTTCCGCCTTCTGATGAGGGTGGAGGGAGGACATTTACTCTGTTGAACAAAGTCAAAAAATCCCGTAATTCTGATAATTTCCTTCTAATTGTTTTTAATATAATGTTAATGTCAGACTGTATCTCAGGTTTGAACAGAATCTGCTTTTGCAACCACAACAGACCCACGTGGAAATATAAATTTATTTTCAAGGCGGTGTCTGCAAATAAACGTCATTTTCGACGTGGCTAATGTTATTCGCAAATTAGCAATTTCAATACTGGACATTAAGACCGCAGGTACAGTATGCCAAACGCCTCATGCAATAAGTGGGAAGAAATGGTCTCTTGGATGACTCATGAGCATTAGAAAGCAATGAAAAATGTTAACGACCCATAAAATATAAAGTAAGAGAACTCGCCCAAAGAGTAACCATCAAGCACTATTCTACAGCAGAAAATACATCGTTCTGTCTATAGAACAGTGGAGACCCTATGCCAAAAACTGAATAGCTAAAAGCGAAGGTCAAGTTCTCCTGTACTTAACTAATTAAGCACCACGTCATGAAGACGCATGAGGGAGTGGATGTATACACGTTTTCTTGACCTCGGAACTAGTTGTAAATGACTGCTCGGCTTCATGCCCTGGCCGCTTTGCCCCCGGGGAAAGAGCTCCTGCTACCCATTGGACAAGAGGCTGGGTGGGCCACAGAAGGCGTATGGACGACATGGAGAAGTGAAAATTCTTGGCCATACCGGGACTCGAACTCCGACCCTTCGGTCGCCCAGTCCCTAACAAGTCGCTATACCGACTGTGATATCGCAGCTTTTGAAGAGCAACAAGTTTCGATAAATTTTATAAATAACTGCAGGTACAAAATGGCAGAAAAGAAATGAGCGGATTAGCAACAATATTTGTCTTAAACGGCAGGAAAACAACGTGTAATTTATGAGTAATTATTGAATTATGAAACCTCTTTCTTGGGGTAAAATAATAATGAAGTTTGAAGCTACTACAGTCTGCAAGACTACAGAGAGACCTGAAACAAACGATAAACTTTATGCAAACTAATACAGCAAAGTATTAGAGCCTTCTGTTTGAAGCACACAGTTTGAATGCAAGCCGTTGTCTGTAACGGAATCGCAGTTGCGCGGAACACGGAGCTGGAATCACCGTACTGCAGAACAGTTTCTCAGTCTATGATTCGCGGGTAGATACCGGTCCGAGATTTGTTTCGTAATGTAACTGAAAATGTTCATGCATGCCATCAATAATTGTAGTGGTAGAATATTATCTGTGCTCTGTACCTACATCATGGAACAGATATCGTATTGGTCCTCAGAGAATCCATTGCTGTTTTAACTGCTCAAAGGGATGTAAATCAATAAGTTAGAGCTCTGGTTATTAACCTGTGGGTCCTGAATTATGTGGGGTCCGCAAAAATGCGTTTCGTAAAATAGAAATATGATAGTTGAAAGAAACTGCAGCAAAGAAGGCGAGATCACAGCTCTATTTTGACCAGAGAGGGGGTCGTGGAGAGTAACAAAAGAACTATCCGCTCATGAAAGAGCGAGAGGCAGCGGATATTGGAAGTCATGACAGAGGTTTTTAGCGCCATTTTTTCTGTCTCCCCAAAGCGAATTATGCGGTAAAGAGGCTACTAATTAGCACATTAACATACATTCCGATTAATTACATCCATTCATCATACATCGCGGCGGAAACAGTGCCGCTAAATAATAGCATAACGGCCCTTAAGTACACCTTTGATATGTAACTATACCGAACACGATGGCTCAAGCGATAACTCTTCTGGCTTCTGTTTTCGGAAAGTGGAATGACCGTCTCTGTGGTCTAGTGGTCAGAGTTCCTGGGTACAGATCCAGAGGTCCCGGGTTCGATTCACGGCGCTACCAGATTTTTCTGAGAAGTAGTGGGTTTGAAACGGGGTCCACTCATCCTCGTGAGGATAACTCAGGCTATTTCAAGGAAATAGAGGTTCCGGTTTAGAAAACCGAGATTAGCGGCCATGAGGATTCGTTGCGGTGACCACGCGACACCCTCTATCCACTAAAGTTGACACTGACTTCGGCGACAAGAGGCGGTCGCTCGGTCGGTATAGTTCGCTTGCGGACTAAAGGCCACGGAGGTTATGTAGGTCGATCTGTATCTCGACAGGGACATCGACTTTCCTGACTGAGGTCTTTTTGCGCGTTCGGCTGAGTCTCAGGCAAACGCAGGATAAGGCCTTAAATTACGCCAAGATCGCGTCTTTCTGCATCCTCTCCCATTCATTAACCACCACCATTCAATCATTCGACGTTATATAATTTGAGTTACTTTCAACGTCGTAAGTAAAATACAAATAAATTATATAAGAGCATAAACAAACAACCGGTCTACAAAACCGAAATTAACGGCCGTGGGGATCCGTTGCGCTGACCACACGACACTCTCTATCCGCTAAAGTTGACACTAACTTCGCCGACAAGCGGCGGTCGCTCGGTCGGTATAGTTCGCTTGCGGACTAAAGCCACGAAGTTTCTATAAACAAACATTTGCCTCTTAATAGAGTCGCACAAGATTGAAGGGACTCGAGCTGGGCAGCCCTGTTCTATTGACAAGGAAAGGAACCGCTAATATTAAGAACTACAGCCGGTCACGATAGCCGAGCGGTCTAAGGCATGCACTGTCTTCGCTCGCTCGGAAGACGGGATCGTGGGTTCGGATCCCACTCAGGGCATGGATGCTTGTGTGCGTTTTTCTGTGTTTGTATACAGGTAGAGGCCTTGCGACGTGCTGATCACGCGCCGAAGGAGTCCTACCGTATGTCTAAGACCTAGTAAAACCGAGGTGAACGGAGAGTTTCATGGAGGTAGGCCTAGGCCCAAATGAGGGCTGTAGCGCCAATGAAAAAAAATATTAAGAACTGTAGTGAATATGTCGAAAACGGAGTTGGTGCCATTGTCTCTTGAAAACACTTAACAAAACTACGGTATTTATAATAGCTGATCGTTATGCATGTCCCTAGAACATAAATCAGATGAGTCATGCGTGACTTGAAGCATGTAATTCATTTTTATTAGTTTCCTGCAAAAAAATAGGTTTGAAAATAAACTGCGAGCAGCCGGTCAACTGAAATAACTTATTACAAACGGTTGTACAATTGGACTTACCTCCTCCGCTGGAATGTAGGCACTGGGGCCAAGGATGGTTGGGTGTGGGACCGGCATCCCTCTTTCCTGCCAACAGACGATAACGTTCATTACAATACTGAAGAAGCCACTCTTCACATTACAACAATTCGACCAGAACACTTCAGCATCATTATCTGTTTTCGGCAAAGCCATGATAAATAATGTACGTTGCAATGTATGTTGAAAATTACAATAAACAAAGCTGTTTCGGAGGGCCGCGCCATAGCTCAAGCGGTTAGTCACTGGCTTCCCACCGCGGCGGCCCGGGTTCGATCCCGGGGTCTGATCAAGTGGGATTTGTGGAGAACAAAGTGGCGCTGGGGCGGGTTTTCTCCGAGTACTTCGGTACTGCCAATCTTCATTCCACCAATTCCTCAACAATCACCCTCACCTATCATCTGGGCTGGTACAATAGGCCAAAAGTAGCCGCAGTACAAGGGACTTAGTCCCACCCCACTAGCAATAAAAAAAAAGCTATTACGGATGACCTGGCTGACAAAAAATTTGTATATTTTAGACATGAAACAACTTGAAAACAGCAAAGGAAACTCGTTACGTTTTCGCTGGCAACAATGATTGTAGCATACCGGCCGCAAATGGAGCTCCGATCACTGTGAAAGGAAAACGGTGTCTCACGTGAAAAGGGCAAAATGTTGACTTGGTTCATCCTGGTCCGTCACACTAGCAATAGTACTATAAAGGTTCGGCCATACAGAGCGCTACGTACGCTATGTTCGCTATACGAACAGAAAAATATCTCCTTTTATTGCCAATGTGACTGGCCACACAGGCTTCCGTACGCTACGTACGCTATGTTCGCTATACGAACAGAAAAATATCTCCTTTTATTGCCAATGTGACTGGCCACACAGACTTCCGTACGCTATGTACGCTATATTCCCTATGTTACCTGCGTCGCAGAGTGTATACAGCGTACGTAGCGAACATAGCGTAGCGCTCTGTGTGGCCGAACCTTAAAAGAATATCAACTCCGTCCAGTGTGACTGATAAATGTTTTTCTCCTTTTTAATCTTTTGTCCTTGATATGTATAACAACACAGCGCGGCCCGAACAGCTGGACGATACTAAAGAGTCCTGTTCGTCAAACAACGGAACCAAGACGCGGTAGACACTTACCTTCCTTTAAAGAGGAGCAGTATAAAGGACACGAACCAAACTTGTTCTAGATTTAACAACGTTTCTTAGACCATACTTGTAAATAAATTAATTATAACAATTTATAAATATTTAAACATATTCACGTACATCGTTGTAATTGTTAAAGGCTAATATTCTATATTCATGACATTGTAATGGTAGTGTCCGTACGTATTGATTTGACCAATCACATTGTAATAGTAGTTTCTGCATGTCGTTCTGAAGATGGTCGCTCCGACCGAAACATGTTGAGGATGAAAGATTAAAAAGGTGAAAAAGTATTTATCAATTACACCGTCCGGAGTTGATAATCCTTTAGACAAAATGCTGCTTATGACAGAACGAGCAGGAATCATTCGTTGGCCCTCCAAATCGCCGGACTTCACTCCAGGCAACTTCTACTTAGGGGGGAAATACGAAAGACTAGGTACGCAATCCTCTAATGTCACAGTCCCTTCGGCAGCTTCGATAACGAATTTCACAGGCCACAGCCACTGTCGAAGTCACAGTTGCGCGCGCACATGCGAAGAATTAGAATATTTCGTTGACGTTTATGGAGTAATTAATGTAGCACGTATAGAAAATCTTTAGATAAACTTCATGAGTATCCATATCGTTTCCAAGCTGTTTCATGTTTACATCTGTAACCACTTCGAAAATACACTAATTTCTTATCACCCAAATCATTTTCAATAGCTATGACACTCGGATTTTGCCAAGTAGACAAAGTAATCGATTTTTTTTATTCCTAGTGGGGTGGGACTAAGTCCCTTGTACTGCGGTCGCTTCTGGCCTATTGTACCAGCCCCAGATGATAGGTGAGGGTGATTGTGGAGTAATTGGTGGAATGAAGATTTGCAGTACCGAAGTACTCGGAGAAAACCCGCCCCAGCGCCACTTTGTCCACTAAAAATCCCACTAGACCAGACCCGGGATCGAACCCGGGCCGCCGCGATGGGATGCCAGCGAGTAATCGCTTGAGCTATGGCGCGGCCTTAAGTAATCGATTACTCTGTAAGCCACAAGAAGACGGGGCAATGAATACAACATGACAACACAAAGAGAAGCTCAGTAGCCGTTCTCCGAGCTGCCTTTTCTTAAATTAAGTTGTACGGCCTATTGAACTGTATATGTGTGGTTGACTATTTAACGATGCTGTGAGTATCGAGGTTATATAAAGTGAATGACAGGATGATTAATGGATGTGGAGCAAAGACGATGTGCAAGAAATGAAAGCATAGTGGCGACGTCATGATCGTGAGTCTGCCTTTCAGGCTATCCTATCCATAATTTTGGAAATTGATGTACTAGCCACGGGGAGTATGTGTATACTAGTCTGTGTGTTCTGTCCACTGAATTACCGTATTAACTTCAGCAAGGGGTGGGCAGATTTCCTAAGTTTAGAACGTCCTTCAAATTACGAAAATAATCCTCTCGTTTGTATTTCAGATACAATTTCAAATGCATGGAGAAGTAATGAACAAGACATATATATGCAAGGCTTTTGTATGAATGCTTGTATGTACACGTGCGCACTGCAGTTACCATAAATACACTGCAACGTTACATACCTGTAATGCTAAGTCGGGTTTTTTTTTCCGGAACTATAAAGCCTAGTTATTTTCTGGAACTAACCTGCGACAAGTAACAAAACAGTGACTTTATAGCTACATTATCTTCAAACCGCTTCATGTTGGGTTTTATGATAGATAAAAAACGTATTTTGCTCTGACAACGTTCACGAACAAACAACTTACACATCAGAGGTGCAGTTTTCCTTTATTTAGAAATATTGAGTTCTTTTAAAAGTCTATAGGCAAACTATCTGTTGTTTTTCTAGGTCTGCATTCGAAGGTTTCAAAGAACAATGAAATGTCATGTGACGTGCGACAATACTGTTTAATCGCTACTTCTTTTTGTGCACATTTAACCATTATCTTCTGGAAGGCTGAACTCATAAATTAAACGTGACAACTATTCGTAGCCCCTTTCTGTATGATATTTAGGATACCGTCCTACCAAACAACGGCTAGTGAAGACGTGACTGTGGACTCTAGTGTAGAACTGTAAAGTGTAGTCACGTGCTGTATCAAAGAGTCCAATAAATCCTGTGATCAATCCAAATCCAGTGTGTAGTCACACTCATACACGTGACAATATGATAACGTTTTTTTTATAGCAAGTCTTATTTATAGAAAAGAATTTACGAAAAGTACTTGCTAAATATTCCGTTTCAATTTTTCATTTATTTTCACACATCTAATAAACATCTCGAGGGAAAAGTATGGAATCAGTATGGCTGTACACAATTTATCATCATTAGACAGCCTCTGTGGTCTAGTGGCCAGAGTTCCTGCCTACAGATCCAGATGTTCGGATTCGATTCCCGGCGCTACCAGATTTTCTGAGAAGTAATGGGCCTGTAACGGGATCCACTCAGCCTCGTGAGGATAACTGAGGAGCAATGTCAAGGAAATAGCGGCTCCGGTCTAGAAAACCGAGATTAACGGCCGTGGGGATCCGTTGCGCTGATCACGCGATACCCTCTATCCACAAAAGTTGGCACTAACTTCGCCGACAAGCGGCGGTCGCTCCGTCGGTATAGTTTGCTTACGGACTATAGGCCACGGAGTTCTTTTATTACGGCGTATGAGGTACAGCTCTATCATCCTTAACCTCGGCAATAGATGGAGATGAGTAGTGTGTTCCAGAGTCGGTCTGGACGCCGTGGAGTAGAGTAAAATATCTTACCCTTTCCGAGAATCGAATTCCGATCATCCAGCCACGTAGCTCACCGATATCCTGGCTCGGATAGCATTTGTACTCTGTACGATTTAACTACTCCGTGGATCAAAAGCTCTACTAATGTGTGTTGCATCATCAGAATACCTTCACGAAACTCAACATGTCATGCACATAAATCTATGGCCTTAGAAACAACCAAAACACATCAATTATCGATCATTAATTATTAACAAAATATTAGCCTTTCAAAAAAACACTTTTCAATCCACGTATCCGAACATTTTAAGGCCGCGTTCAGAGTTCACAAACTAAAAGTACAATTCCCAAGCAATTATTCCCTGTACTTAAAATTCCTTTACTTGAACATCATAAATGGGGTAAACTACATAGCACACCAACTAACAAGCTGAATGGAACCTGTAATTTAAGATGTAGGGTTCTCATCAGTCATGCTTCTAACAGTTCACGGAATGAAACGTCTGCACATCCTTGAACCCTGAGATTACAATTCTTGAGGCATGGTAGAAGATACAAAGTATTAAAAAGTACAATTCCGCAACATATCAAGTTTAGTGGCCTCAACCCCCTTCCTAATTACATGGGATATTGCTACAGAGCTGTATTACTTGGAATTGTCACCAAATGACGGGAATTTGAACATGGTCAAGCAAAAATAAACATTATATATAAAAATTAATCCATATAATTACTGGGATTTTGGACTTTTTCCATCGTCCCGAATTCTAGGAAGTAGAAAACACGACGTTTCGGAAACTGGATGTTGAAAAAGCCCCAAAACCCAGTAATTCTGTGTGTTATCCACCATCGTCAGAACCCTTTCGAATCTAGCAATAAAAATTAATGCCAATGTCTTTAAGAAGCAGAGAAAGGGACGAAATTACCAACATGTTAGTCAGACTGGACCAATCAGAAAATATGTTTAAAGCAAGAGTACGAATAAGAACCATTCGTGTAAGGTGCGCAGTGAAGGTTTGGTTCTGTGAGGGGATAAGGAGGCGCGCAGACCGGCCAACATAAGCAAGGATGGGATCAGTGACAGCATGCAAAGCAGAAACCTCAATCAGGAAAAACTTTTCGATCGAGAGCTCTGGAGGGGCGGAAAATATGTCTTTTGGTTGCGG